AAAATAATAATTTTACTAAAAGAAATAAATACACATTTAAAATTATATTTGCTAACTTCCTATTAATAAATTAGAAGGCATTTTAGTACAAAAAAACTATATTATTTAAAAGGCACAAATCACGAAATAACCACTATTAACCAAAACAAAAGCTTAATATTGGTAACATAAAGTTAATTCACGGAAGGAGTTAGATTTTGTTTTGCTAACATTTATCTCACCACACTTAGGGAAACGGGCAAGTAAATTATTCTGATTAAGATAACTGATGGCTAACTCTGGAAAACAGTATGAAGTTCCCTCAAAAAGCTGAAAATAGAGCTACCCTACAACCCACCAATTGCACTACTAGCTATTTACCCAAAGACACAGATGTAGGGAAAAGAAGGGGCACCTGCACCCCAAAGTTTATAGCAGCAATGTCCACAATATCCAAACTATGGAAAGAGCCCAGATGTCAATCGACAGATGAATGGATAAAGATGATGTGGTGTATACACACACACACATACACACACACACACACACACACACAAAGGAATATTACTCAGCCATCAAAAAATAAAAACTTGCCATTTGCAACAACATGGATGGAACTAGAGGGTATTATGCTAAGTGAAACAGTCAATCAAAGAAAGGCAATCATCATATGATCTCACTGCTAAGTGGAATTGAAGAAACAAGGCAAAGAGAGGAAAAAGTGAAACAAGACAAAACCAGAGAGGGAAATAAACCATAAGAGACTCTTAATCTTAGGAAACAAAGTGAGGGTTGCTGGAGGAGAGGATGGGGGGATGGGATAACTGAGGGATGGACACTAGAGAGAGTATGTGTTGTAATGAGCACTTGGTATTATATAAGACTGATGAATCACAGACCTGTATCCCTAAAAGAAATAATGTATTCTATGTTAATTAACTGAATTTAAGTTTTTAAAAAGGGTAACTGATTGCTAGGTACATTCTTTTTTTTTTTTTTTAAGATTTTTTATTTATTTCTTTGGCAGAGACAGATCACAAATAGGCAGAGAGGCAGGCACAGAGAGGAGGAAGCAGGCTCCCTGCCGAGCAGAGAGCCTGATGTGGGGCTCGATCCTAGGACCCTGAGATCATGACCTGAGCCGAAGGCAGAGGCTTAACCCACTGAGCCACCCAGGTGCCCCAAGATACATTCTTTTTAATACCTTGCTTTTGTTCCATTTTTTACATAGGACCAGAGTATAATAAATTATGATCATTAAGATATTCTGTGGAATTTATACCCAAAAGACAATAAATGTAGGAAAAGCCATTAAGAGCAGCACTAAGAACATAATCAATCAAATGCTCATTAGAGAAAAATTTCAATTGAAACAGAGTCCCAAATACCAAAGCATACTATTTTCAAGTATTTTTAAACTTCCTTTTAAAAATGCAGGTGTACAAATGAAATTGCCTTTAATTGTAACTATAGAAAAGTAGTTTTCCAGAGTCAAGAGTCTCTAGGAGGTGGGTGGAGGGGTGGGGTAACTGGGTGATGGGCATTAAGGAGGGCATGTGATGTGATGAGCACTGGGTATTATACACAACTAATGAAGCATTGAACATTATATCAACAACTAATTATGTACTATACATTGGATAATTTAAATTAAAAGAAAAACTTTTCAAAGATTTTATTTATTTATTTGAGAGAGAGACAGTGAAGGAGAACATGAGAGAGAAGGTCAGAGAGAGAAGCAGACTTGCCATGGAGCCGGGAGCCCGATGCAGGACTCAATCCTGGTACTCCGGGATCATGACCTGAGCCGAAGGCAGCTGCTCAACCAACAAACCACCCAGGTGCCCCAATAGACAGAAATTTTTTTTAAATAGTTTTTTATTTAGGTAGCTGACAACATTTGAACCAAAAAATTTTATCTGCATTCACCCAGAAAAATAAGAAAACTGTTACAGACACAAAATCAGAAATGAACCGATGAAACAACATGGAGTGAATAGACATTTTTTTTGCCAAGTATATGAAATTCATTAAGGATTGTTCACACGGCAGCAAATTATTTGCTGCGCATATTTGATGGTATCAAGGCAATCCTCAGAAGAAAATGAATTTAAAAGGGATATCTAACTTTTGGCTTTTATTGGCTTACCTTTTCTAAATCCATCTTTCTATAGTAGTGTCTTAACAGACTTCATAGTTCAGTGGCTGAACTATTTTTTTAGTTATTAAAAAATATCAACATAATCTTATACTCTGATGATGTCACTGGTCAAACACGCTTTATTCTATAAAATGCATATAATCCATCCTGATATCAATATAATCTGGATAAGTTAATTACTACCTTATGTATTTTTCTGGGCACAGGTTTAGAGAAATAGAAACATTAAGAAATAGAAAAATTACATGTGGTATTTATTATCTATCTATTTAGGATTTTACTGTGAAATTATTTTGCTTTCCTAGATGAGAAAATCCTTCCTAGGAAAACAAAATTAGAAATTAGGAAATTAGAAATTAGAAATCAATCATATTTTTTTCTAAATCAAAAGTATTAGATACCACAGTTTTAGGGTAAAGCAGATGAACAGTTTAGGAAAATTGTCTTATTAATGGGATTTAAACTAGCATGCCACCAAAATAAAATCAGTTTTTCAGCACAGATGATATAATATAATCATAAAAGCAACAGAAAGTCATAACCACATAGTATCTATTCTCAAAAGCCGCTCTCTCTCTCTCCTTTTCCAATGACTACCAAAAAAAGGAAGCTATATAAAAGCTGGGTGGTGGTCATATTATTTTTGACAAGAGCACCAGAACCAGTCAATAGAGAACAGATAGTCTTTTCAACAAGTGATGCTGGAAAAACTGGATATGCACATGCAAAAGAATAAAATTGCACCTTACCTTACACCATCAACAAAAATTAACTCAAAACAGATCAAAGATCTAAACCTAAGGGCTAAAACAAAAAAACAGTTATAAGAAAATATAGGGGAAAAGCTTCATGATAGTAATGACTTCTTGGATATGACACCAAAAGCACAGGTAATCAAAAAAAAAAAGAAACAAATCTGTTTACATCAAAAATTAAAAACCTTTGGACATCATAGTACACATCAAGAAATGTGAAAGGCAACCGAAAGAATGGCAGAAAATATGTCATATAGCTGACATGGGGTTAATATCCAGAATATATAAAGAACACTTACAACTTGACAACAGCCTGATTTTAAAATGGGCAAAGGAAGTTCCCCAAAGAAGATATTTAAATGGTCAAAAAGCTTAAGAAAAATGTTCAACATCAGTAACCACTAGGGAAATGCAAATTAAAACCATAGCAAGGTATCACTCCACACTCCACAGAATAGCTATCAGAAAAACAGAAAGTAAGTGTTGGCAAGGATGTGGAGAAATTGGAACACTTATGCACTGCTGGTGGAATGTAAAATGGGACAGCTGCCAAAGAAAACAGTGTATCAGTTCCTCAAAAAAAAATTAAACGTAGAATTGCCAAATAATCCAATAATTCCAGTTCTAGATATATATCTAAAGGAACAGAAAGCAGGATCTTAAAGAGATATCTGTATACCCACGTTCATAGCAATGTTATTCTTAAGAGCCAAAAAGTGGAAGCAAGCCAAGTATCTATTAATAGATAAATGGATAAACAAAATGTGACAGATACAAAGGAATTTTATTCACCCTTAAAAAGGAGAAAATTCTAACACACGCAATGACATGAAAGACCTTGAAGACATTATGCTAAGAGAAATATGTCAGTCACAAAAGAGCAATCGCTGTATAATACCACTTATGTGAGGCACCCACAATAGGCAAATCCACAGAGACAGAAAGTAGAAGTTGGCTGCCAAGGGGAGGGCACGGCAAGTTACTGTTTAACAGGTTTCAATCTAAAAAGTTTCAATCTAAATCTAAGTTTCAATCTAAAAAGAAGAAAAATGTTCTAAAGATGAATCAGGGTGATGGTTACACAACAATGTGAATGAGCTTTAACAGCATCAATCTGTCCCCACCCAAAAAGGGTTAAAAAGGCAACTTTTACTAAGTATATTTTACCAGAATAGAAAAAAAAAAGTTAAAAAAAAAAAAAAAGTTGCTTGTTCTCATACCCCCCAAAAAGGAATATTTATCAATGTGTTGCTCACAAACTGAACCAGTCTTCCTAGCATCTTAGAAATGTGAACCATGAGGATCTGTGGGATAATTTCCTATGATATTAGCAAATCTGATTCAGAACTCCTTAATCTGACATCTTTGGGATAACAACAGTATATCTTTACCCAAAAGCACTAATATTTTTTTTTCTTTAGTTTCTACTCCTCAGTTTTGTGGCACATAAAAAACAAAAGTATTTAATGACAGAATATTTCAATTACTGTTTAAATTAAGGTAATAGGTAAGAAAGCATTACAAAATGTTCAAATATACTATAAAAATTTCATATAACAGTATTAATAACAATTAATTAATTAATAAAGAAACAACCAGAGCACAACTCTCAGATCAAGTAACAACACCCAGTCATCCTCTTATGAGGAATTAAACAACTACTGTAGCTTACTTTTTGTTTACTTTCCCACTTTCTTTACATTTCACTATCCACTAATTAAGTCTGAAATTATTCAGGAATTTTAAAAAGTTTCTCTGAGGAAATTTTACTGTCTTATATTCCAGATACTCATATCTACATGAATCCTGTTGTATAACTCAATCTAAACTTTGTGAAATCCTTAAAATGTCCTAAAACACTAAAAAAAAAAAAAAATTCAAAAGGGCCAATAAAGGGAACCATTTTAAAATAAATTCTATTATGTATAAGTTATGGGATTAAAAATTAGTGATAAGAAGACTCAACTCTGTTACCTTTCTGTGCCTGTTATCCAAGACAGAACATCAATTTTCCCACATATGAAGATTTTCCTGATGAAGAGCTATACTACATAGCAAGATTCTTATCATTTAACACATATGCAAGTAAGATAACATAATGATACCTGAGCAAAAAGGTAGGCCATGACAAAGTCGTCAAGAAGAGGAGCTTCAGCACCTCGAGATATCCCATACCGATAGGTTCTGTTGCTGCCGTTACAATACCAGTAAGGAAAGTAAAATCTAGGAGACAAAATATTCAATCAGCCTCAAATAGTTAAAATGTAAACAAAATGTATATGTACAACCACTTCCAGCATACTGAAAGGCATTATCCCATAACCAGAAAACACAGCTAACAGTGTTAAATACAATTTGGGGACAAAAGAAAATCTGAATAAGACCATAATAATGTAGACAGAAAATTAAGAAACACAAGTGCAAAATCAATATGCTGCCTGCTTCTATGTGCAGAATGCAGAAGCAATAATAGGAAACAGAGAAATACAGAAATAAAATATTAAAATTTTTAATATTAATATTAAAATATTAATAATATTAAAATAATAATATTTAAATATATTTAAAATATTAAAATAATATTAATATTATTGGATTAATATTTAGTATTAATCCAATAATATCAGTAAAGGAATTTGAAAAAATACTAATTTGGCATGAAAACAAATAATTGCTTCTTCCTTTAAGGAATGGGGGTTATCATGGTAAGATATCACTTCATACTAGTCAGAATGGCTAGTGTCAAAAAGACAAGAAATAACAAGTGCTGGCAAAGATATGGAGAACAGAGACCTTCCATGCACTTTTGGTAGGACTGACTGTTAACTGGCATGGCCACAATGGAAAACAGTGTGGAGAGTCTCAAAATATTAAAAACAGAAGTACCATACACCTGGTTGTATAATTCCACTACTAAGTATTATCCAAAGAAAATGAAAACACCCAATTTGAAATGACATAGGCACCCCTATGCTTACTGCAGCATAATTTACAACAGCCAAGATGTGCAAGCAACCTAAGTGTCCACCAAGAGAACAATGTATAAAGAAGGTATGGTGTATATACACAATGGATTATTACTCAGCCATAAAACAGAATGAAATTTTACCATTCACAACAACATGGGTAGACCCAAAGGGTATTATGCTAACTGAAACAAGTCAGAGAAAGACTAATATCATAGTTCACTTACATGGACAATCTAAAAAGCAAAACGGATTAACAAAAAAATTAAAAAGGAACAGACTAATAAATACAGAGAAAACCAACTGGTGGTTGTTGGGGGAAGGAGAGAATAGGTGAAATAGGTAAAGGGGAATTAAGAGGTACAAACTTCCAGTTGTAAAATAAATAAGTCATGGGGATGAAAAGTACAATATAGGGAATACAGTCAATAATACTGTCGTAACTTTGTATGGTGACAGATGGCAACTACAGTTACCATGGTGAGCATTTTATAACGTGTTTAATTGTCAAATCACTGTGTTGTCTATCTGCTGCTAATATGTCAGTTACACATGAATATAAATGAATGAATGAATAAAATAGGTTAAAAACTTGTCCTTCAAAGAAACTAAAAATATTCTATATTGCTTTATTTACACCTTTACTGAGATAGTAATTCACATACCTTCAAGTTCACCCATTTCAAGCATACAATTCAATGTTTTTTACTATATATCTAGCACTGTACAAACATCCCCACAATCTAATTTCAGAACATTTTCATCCCCACTAAAAGAAACTCCATACCTATCAGCAGTCACATCCAAATCACCCCACCTACTCCCCAGCCCTGAATTCCCACTAGTCTCTCTATAAATTTGCCTGTTCTGAACATTTTATATAAATGGAATCACATAATATGTGGCCTTTTCTACCTTCTTTCACTAAGCATATGCTCAAGGACTATCCACCTTATAGCAAGTATTAGCACTTCATTCCTTTTTATTGCCCAGTATAATATTCCTTTGCTATTGTGGACACTGCTGCTAAGAACTATATGTACACTGTGTGTGTGTGTTAGTCCTACATACATACTTAGGGATGGAATTGATGTATCATATATGTTAATTCTATGTTCATCTTTTTGAGGAACAGCCAAACTATTTTTATTTTTTATTTTTTTTCCTAATCAATCTCTTTTTTCTTTTTTTTAAGTTTTTTTTTTTTTTTAAGATTTTATTTATTTATTTGTCAGAGAGAGAGGAGCGAGAGTGAGCACAGGCAGACAGAGTGGCAGGCAGAGGCAGAGGGAGAAGCAGGTTCCCTGCCAAGCAAGGAGCCCGATGTGGGACTCGATCCCAGGACGCTGGGATCATGACCTGAGCCAAAGGCAGCTGCTTAACCAACTGAGCCACCCAGGCGTCCCCAGCCAAACTATTTTTAAAAGTGGCTGTACTAGTTTCTATCTCCAAAAGCAACACATGATCATCTCAATAGTTCACATCCTTGCCAACACATGTGGAGAGTTTAGCTAAGTTAATCTTTGGTATTGTTGCCTTGGCATCCATTTTGTTTAGCTAAGAGGCCTGTGGTGACCTTAAACTGACAACAGCCTCTCATGCACACGCATGCCCTAGAGAACAGCCTACTGATTCACAGGCAAATACAAGTTTCTGATACAGCTTCCTAACAATCTCCCCTGTCTCCCAGCACCTAACCCTTACTGAAATCAATAAGTCAACAAGACACCCACATGGCTTATCAAAGACCAGCTCTTTTGGCTTGAACTAAATTTGGAACCCCAAAACTAAAATTGGAACTCCACTCACAAACCCTAGTAAAGGCATGTGCCCTGGGTCCTGTGTCTCTGTACTCTGCCTTGATCTCCCCATATGGTCCCTGGAGGCCTGCAGGGTACTTCCTCCAGGACCTGTGAATAATAAACTTTTCTACTTTGGTTTCTCTTGTGCTCTGTTGTTGAAACAAGGCTCACTATCTAGCACCCTGTGCTCTACGTAAAAAGGGATAATTTGAGGGGCACCTAGTGGCTCAGTCAGTTAAGTGTCTTCCCATGAACTTAGTACTCTTGTCAAGTATCAATCACCATAATATCAGGGATTATGTCTGCACTCTTAGTTCTGTTCCACTAACCTATGTACCTATCCTTAAGCCAATACCACGCTGTCTTAATTACTACCGTTGTGGAGTAAGTTTTGAAATTAGGAAGTGTAAATCTTCCAACTTTGTTCTTTTTCAAGAGTGTTTTGACTATTTCAAATCCCTTTGATATTTTTATGAATTTTACCATCAACTTGTCTATTTCTGCAGTAAAGACATTTAGGATTTCAATAGAGACTACTAACTACACAGATCAATTTGAGAAGTACTTCCATTTAACAGTATTAAGTCTCCTGATCCATAAACATGAGCTATCTTTCCATTTAGGTAAGCGTTTCTTTAAATTCTTTCAATGGGGTGCCTGGGTGGCTCAGTCAGTTAAACAGTTGCCTCTGTCTCAGGTCATGATCCCAGAATCCTGGGATCCAGCCCCATGTCCTGCTCCCTGCTCAATGGAGAGTCTGCTTCTCGCTCTCCCTCAGTTGCTCCCCTGGTTTGTGCTCTTGCTAGCACTCTTTCTCTCTCTCAATAAAATCTTTAGAAAATAATTAAATTCCTTCAATATCTTACTTTTCTCAATGCATAGTTTTTGCACTTCTTTCGTGAGGCTTATCCCTAAGTACTTCTTCAAACGCTGTTGCAAATGGAACTGTTTTCTTAATTTCACATTTGCATTATTTACTGCTAGTGTAGAGAAATACAACCAATTTTTATATATTGATCTTCTATCCTCCAACTGACTAAACTCATGTACTTAATTCTAATAGTTTATTAATTCCTGAGGATTTTTTTTAAACAAATTATTTATTTAGGGGGAGGGATGGACAGAGAGAGAATCCTCAAGCAGGCTCCCCACAGAGTGTGAAGCCCAACTCAGAGCTTGATCCTGGGACCCTGAGATCATGACGCAAGCCAAAATCGAAAGTCGGACACTCAACCAACCAAGCCACCCAGGTGTCCCTCCTTGGGATTTTTTTATATGCAAGACCATATCATCTGTAAATAGAGATTATTTCACTTCTTTGCCAATATGCATTTTTTTTTTTTCTCTTTTCCCTGGCTAGAATCTACAGTCTAAGGTTAAAAAGAAGTGGTAAGAATAGGTATCTTTTGTCTTGTTCCAGATCCCCGGAAGAAAGCAATCAGTCTTTCACCATCATGGATAATACTACCTTTGGCATTTTTGTAGAAGCACTTTGTGAGACTGAGGAAGTTCCTTTCCATTCCAATTGCATTGAGTATTTTTATCATAATAGGGTGTTGGATTGTGTCAAATGTTTTTTCTGTTTCAACGAGATGATCATGTGGTTTTGGTCCTTTAATGAATACAGTGCATTATAGTGATTGATTTGGGATATTACAGCAACCTTATATTTCTTAGAATAAATCCCACCTTGTCATGGTATTTGATCCTTTTTAAATATTGCTGGATTTGGTTTGCTAGTATTTTGAAGACTTTTACACCTGTATTTGTAAGGAATACTGACCTATAGTTTTCATTTCTTCTGGATGTCTGCCTGGATTTAGTATTAGGGTAATACTGAACTCACAGAATGAGTTAGGAGGTGTTCCTTTCTTTTCATTTTTTTTTTTTTTTGTGAATAATTGGTATTAATTTTTGTTAATGTTTGATAGAATTTACCATTGAAGCCATTTGGGCCCAGGCTTTTCTTTGTGGGAATTTTTTAAAATTATTAATTTGATGTCTGTACTTATGAGAGGCCCATCAGAATTTCTGTTTCTTCTTTTGGCAATTCCTAGTTTGTTCTTTCTAGCCATTTGTTCACTTCATTTTGGCTATGTAATTTGTTGGCATTCAATTGTTCCCTGTGGTCTTTATTTCTGTAATGTCACAGTAATTGATATTCTCTCTTCTTGATTTTTAATAATTTCAGCTTCTTTTTATCTTAATAAATTTAGCTAAAGACTTATCAATAGTGTTGATCTTTTCAAAGAACCAACTTTTTGTTTCTTGATTTTGTTGTCTTCCTTCCTCTTTCTCATTTATTTCTACTCTGATCTTTATTTATTACTTCCTTCCTTTGACTTGCTTTGAATTCTACTCTTCTTTTTCTACTTTTTTAAGGTAGAATACTCTTGATTAGAGAACTTTCTCCTTTTTCACCATAGCTGTGCACAGCTATGAATTCTCACCTAAGCACTGTTTAAACTGTGACTACAAGTGGGCATGTTCATTTTTAGTCCTAGCATAGTATTTTCTATTTTCCCTTGTGATTTTTGTCTTTGACTAAGTAGTTATTTAGAACTGTTGTTAATTACCACATATTACTGAATTTTCCAGTTTTCCTTCTGTTAATGATTTTGAAATTAATTCCACTGTGGTCAAAGAACATACTTTGTATTACTCCAGTCTTTTAAAACTTAATTGAGACTCATTTTGAAGACTAACATGTGGTCTCTCCTACAGAATGTGATTGTGCTGTTGATGGGTGGAGTATTCTATATAAGCACATCTAGCTGGTTTATAGTGTTGCTCTAATCTTCCTTTATCTTGCTGATCTTTTGTCTAGCTGCCCTATCCATTACTGAAAGTCATATATTGAAGTCTTCAACTACTAATGTGGAATTATCTATTTTTGCCTTCAATTCTGTCAGTTGTTGGCTTAATGGATTCTGGAGTTCTGTCATCAGATCCAAATTATAACAATTATAAACAAATATTATGTTTTCCTGACTCATTAACTCTTTCATCATTATAAAAAGTCCCTTCTTTGTGTGTAGTAACAATTTATTTTTCAATCAATCTTGTCTGACATTAATATTGCTGCGCCAGCTCCTTTTTGGTTACTGAGGGTCTGTTATATCTTTTTCAATCCTTTACTTTCAGTTTACCTGTGTGTTTTAATGTAAAGTGTGCCTCTTACAGACAGCATGTAGGATAGGAAAAATACATGAATTTGATAAGAGAAACAATTTTAATTTTTTTTTTTAAAGATTGTATTTATTTATTTGACAGAGAGAGAGAGATCACAGGTAGACAGAGAGGCAGACAGAGGGCAGGGGGAGCAGGCTCCCTGCTGAGCAGAGAGCCCGATGTGGGGCTTGATCCCAGGATCCTGAGACCATGACCTGAGCCAGAGGCAGAGGCTTAACCCACTGAGCCACCCAGGTGCCCCCAATTTTTAATCCTTTTCTTTGTTTGTTTCCAATTTTTAATTCTTAAGAAGAGGTTAGCAAACTCTGCTTCACAGCCCCATTCTGGTCCACTGTTAAGTTTTTACAAATAAAGTTTTATTGGAACACAGTCATGCCCATTCATTTACTTACTAGTCATGGCTGCTTTCACACTATAATAATAGAACTGAATAGTTAGAACAGAGATGATATAGCCTAAAATATTTACTACTGGTCTTTTACGGAAAAAGACTGTAGACTTCTGCTCCACAGACCTTTTCAAATCAAAAGATACACTTACTAATTGCAGAAAGTATAGTCATTACACAGAAAATGAAAAAATATTCTTAATAAGATACTGATATTTTATCAATCATATGTAGCATGTTAGCATGCTTCTTTTAAATACAACTTTGTAAAGTCTTAAACCTGCATAGAAGTCTTATATAACTTTGGATAGATTTAATCCTAGGTACTTTGCATTTTTTGTTGCTACTAGTTATTTTAAATGACCTCTTTTCTGTATGTGGAGTATAGAAATAGTTGATTTTTTAACATACTGATCATATAGATCTAGCACTCTTCTGAATGCTTATTACTGATGCCTAAAGTTGTTTACATTATCTATGTTAACAATCATATCATCTCCAAAAAATGACTCTTTATTTCTTTGTTCACAATTATTAAATATTTTATTCATTTTTCTTGTCTTAACTGTACTTGTTAGGAACTCTACTAAAATCCTAAACAGAAGCAGTGGTGGTGGCTTTCTTTGTTTTCTATCTTGTTTTTGATTTTACAGAGATTGCTTCTAACACCTTACCATTTGAGAATATTATTTGCTACTTGCTAAGGCTGTTTCTCTTGAGTCTTAGTTTTTTTTAAGGCTTCATTTTTTTCCCTTAAGATCATGAAGGAGTCCAAGTGCTTTTTTACTGTGCAACACTGACACTGCAATGGAATGAATCTATTTCATAAAGCCACAGATCAAACTTATTTCTTTGTTTTAGCCTTTTGAGTAGAAAAGCATCTCTGGATTGCTCTATATTGGTACTACAGATGTCTATAAATTATGAAATGAATTAACTAATAATATGAGGCTGTAAATAAACACTGGCAAAATCATATATTTCCTTCACTTCAACTTTAAAAATTAAATTATTAAAAAGAGATGTGAGATTATATTTTATTGTACAAAACACTGAATTTCCTGGGAAACTAACAATATTCCAAACACTTGGGATTTTGTTAGTAAAGGCCATTCTCATCATTTTAAAATTTAATTTATAATCATAAGTGGTAAAGTAGCATCACTCTGAGTACCAGAAAAGCTCAGAGCAGTCTAGTGAAAAACTATATAAAAACATGTCTTCTGGTGGACAAAATATCTTAAATGAAGTTCTGGTCTCTATTATGAAGTACCTTGCAATTTAAAAATATGTTTGATAATTTCTCTCACTTTGCCTTTTCACGATTAAATGAATCACTTTATTGGAGAAAGTACCTTATTCTGTAGAGTACATTGTGCCTGGTTGATTCATCTATATGGAAGACATGGTTGGGCGGATACCAAATCCTTTCTGTTTCACTCATTAAAGCAAACATACTATGATACACTGGTGTGATTCCTAGGAAAGAAGTAGAAAAAGAAATGATTACAGATACTAACAAGTACATTTATATAACATCCATTAATTTGTAATGGCATTAAAAATAACAACTCTTAATCAGCACAAATGCAGTAGCAGTTGATATCTTTTGGTTCAACATGGCTTACAACTGAATTCTTAATTAAATCTTTTTTCCCTACATTTTAAAATATGACTGCTGGAACTATTTCAGATTTTAAAAAACATCTTAACCAATTTTTTTAGTTTTCTTACACAGAAAGGTCGATTAAAATTTGTGTGTAGTTTTAATTGATAATAAGGGTATCAACTGAAATGTTTAGAGGTCACTGGATATGTTTAAGAGACTAGCATAGCAGTTTTATTTTTAAATGTCAAATTTTACACAGTGCACTAGTAACTATATCTTCTGCACTACTTAAACTTACAATGAAAAATTCTGAAAAACAATCTGAGGGTTTTGAAGGGGCGGGGGGTGGGAGGTTGGGGGATCCAGGTGGTGGGTATTGGAGAGGGCACGGATTGCATGGAGCACTGGGTGTGGTGCAAAAATAATGAATACTGTTACGCTGAAAAAATAAAAAAAATTTTTTAAAAAGGTGAAAATAAGAAAAAAACTGAAAAAAATAAATACAAGTCTAAAAAATTAAAAAGAATTTTAAATGTCAACTTAAATTGCAAGGGTATGTGATGTTTTTCAAAGATATTTTTAGGAGATATATTAACAAAGGTTTGAAGGTTATTGAACTTTTAATTTTTTTTATTTTTATTTTTTTATTTTTTAAATTTATTTTTATTATTTGGCAGAGATCACAATTAGGCAGAGAGGCAGGCAGAGGGGGAGGAGGAAGCAGGTTCCCTGCTGAGCAGAGAGCCCGATATGGGGCTCGATCCCAGGACCCTGAGATCATGACCTGAGCCAAAGGCAGAGGCTTAACCCAGGGAGCTAGCCAGGCGCCCCGGCTACTGAACTTTTTAAAAAAATATATGAAACAGCAAAGCCACACAATTAATTAATGCACATTACTTCCCAGCACACAGAAAACACACAGTCTTCCAAAGTGCTAGAGAATAATCACACAAACCATGTTCTCTAACTACACTTCAACTAAATAAAAAATGAATATTTAAAAAATATTTAAACCTATGTATTTAAAAACATATGCCTCAAAAAAAACCCCAAAGTATATTTATTCTAATGATGTTTTCATTCTTTTCCACTGTAAACAAAAATGACACCAACTTGACACACTGACAACAAAGATTTAAATTTTTTTTTTTTTAAAGATTTATTTTATTTATTTATTTGACAGACAGAGATCACAAGTCGGCGAGAGGCAGGCAGAGAGAGAGGAGGAAGCAGGCTCCTCACAGAGCAGAGAGCCTGATGTGGGGCTCGATCCCAGGGGATCGTGACCTGAGCTGAAGGCAGCAGCTTAATCCACTGAGCCACCCAGGCGCCCCAAGATTTAAAATTTTTATTAAAATTTTCACAACTGCTTACTCCTAGATGTGTAATAATTTCAGTAAGTTACACAATATAAAAGTAACTTTTAAACTGCATCCTTGCATTCATTCATGTATTTACACACATTTCTAAATACCTCACAGGTCACAGGAGAAATTATAACAGAAACTAAAGAGTATTTATAATGAACGATGATTAATAACATGTATTAAAAATTAAGGAATAGGAGCACCTGGGTGGCTCACTAGGCTAACTGGCCGACTCGGTTTCAGCTCAGGTCATTATCTCACAGGTTGTAAGACAGAGTCTCATGTTGGGCTTTGTGCTCAGCATGGGGTCAGCTTGAAGCTGCTCCCCCAACGTGCATACACACTCTCTTTCTCTCTAAAATAAACAAATAAATGTTTTTAAAAAGATGAATAAAAATAAAATTATGGAATATAACTAAGCTGATACGTAAGAGGGAAAATTATAGCTTTAATCCAATTATATCAGAAAATAACAGAATTATCTGCTATCTAACACTACATTAAAAAAAAAAAAAAGCAACAGCAGAGGGGCACCTGGGTGGCTGAGTGGGTTAAGCCTCTGCCTTCAGCTCAAGGCATGATCTCAGGGTCCCCGGATCAAGTCCCACATCAGGCTCTCTGCTCAGCGGGGAGCCTGCTTCCTCCTCTCTCTCTGCCTGCCTCTCTGCCTACTTGTGATCTCTCTTTGTGTTGAATACATAAATAAAACCTTTAAAAAAACAAAAAACAAAAAAATCCAACAGCATAATCTCTAAGAGAGCTGAAAGAATGTGAAAGCATAGAAGTTAACAGAATAAAGATTCAGTAAAGAGAATCAACAAAATAAAAGCTCATTATTTATATTGACCAACAAAATAAATAAGCTTTTGTCAAATCTGAGCAAGGAAAAAAAAAACAGATAAACCCTAATGATTTTTTAAAGTATAATTATAGTTATGAAGACAAAAAGAGAATAGATAATGCCAATAAATTTGAAAATGCAGACAATATTAAAAACATATATAACTTTAAAAAATGGATTCAAGAACAAAAAACTTCAAAAGGAACCATAATATATTCATGTAAAAAAAGATAAAGAAGAAGAAAGGAAGGGGGGGTAAGAGAAGTAACAAGAAGAAAGGAAAAAACACAATTAGGCCCAGAGGAAGTTTATATGTAAGTTCAATGAAACATGAAAGACAATTCTAATCTTCTGTATACTATTATAGAAAAAAGAGAGAGAGAATAGGGAAATTGACATAATTTGTGAGTTTAGTTTGACTATGACACCAAAACCAGCCAAACATCATAAACGAACAGATAGAAAAACCCTAAACATTTTAATTATCAGCAAACCAAATCCCATAACATTTCTTTAAAGAAAATTAAGACAAAGTTCATTTGTCTTACAACAGTTGAGATGGCTTAACTGGAAAAATTAATGTAATTCTTCATAACAATGAATCAAAGGAAAATGTAAAAATGGCAAAATAATACATTTGAAAGGCTGTGTGGTGACTACACTGATATGTATTATATTCTTCTATGCACAGTATTAAATATTTTATAATAAAAATCAGGATTAAAAATGCAAAATAAAAGTGAAAATGGCAAAAAAAATGGATGTAAGTCACAACAGAGCAATTGTAAAAGTAATAACTAATAAACATGTGAAAGGAGGTAATATCTAGTATTGAAGAAAATGCAAATCAAAATTATGTAATAATCACTTTATACCACTCAGCTAGGAAAAATAGAAGGGATAACATCTAGGGCTGATTGGATGAGGTGAAAAGGGACTATGTTATATAATTGCTAGAAATGTCAACCTTTCAACACAGCAATGTACTCCTAAAAGTATAGCAGAAAATGTAAATTCAAGAGTAGAAAAATTTTAAAAATATGGTAATGCAATCCATGGAGCAGAATATTAGGAAACTCAATAAAAAGAATTAATGCAAAAGTGTGTGGCTTGAATAAATTTTTCACAATATAAGTTTTCATGATAAATGCAATAAGCATAAAATATGATTCCAATATATAAAATAATAACCTCAAAATCCTAATGACTGTGTGTATAGGAGGGAGGGGGATTACGTTTCCCCCTCATTCCATATATGATATGATATATTTACATGATCAAGGAAAAAATAATAGAAGGATATACAAGAGATTACTGCCACAGTTACTAAGATGGGACGAAGAGAAAAGAAAGGTTAAGAGTCCAGTAAAGAAAAACTTCTTAAAATTTTTGAATTATGTTATGTTAGTCACCATACAGTACATCATTAGTTTTTGATGTAGTGTTCCATGATTCATTGTTTGCATATAACACGCAGTGCTCCATGCGATACATGCCCTCCTTAATACCCATCACCAGGCTAACCCATCCCTTCAGTCTCTCCCCTCTAAAACCCTCAGTTTGTTTCCCGGAGTCCAAAGTGTCTCATGGTTCTTCTTCCCTCTGATTCCCGCCCCTTTATTTTTCCCTTCCTTCTCCTAATATCCTCTATACTATTCCTTAAGATCCACAAATAAGTGAAACGATTTAATTGTCTTTCTCTGCTTGACTTATTTCACTTAGCATAATCTCCTTCAGTTCCATCCATGTTGATGCAAATGCTGGGTATTCATCCTTTCTGATGGCTGAGTAATATTCCATTATATATATGGACCACACCTTTATCCATTCCGTCTGTTGAAGGGTATCTTGGTTCCTTCTACATTTTGGCTATTGTGGACACTGCTGCTATGAACACTGGGGTGCATGTGACCCTTCTTTTCACTACATCTATACCTTTGGGGTAAACACCCGGTAGTGCAATTGCTGGGTCATTAGGGTAGCTCTATTTTTAAGTTTTTGAGGAACCTCCATACTATTTCCCAAAGTGGCTGCACCAACTTGTATTCCCACCAACAGTGTAAGAGGGTTCCCCTTTCTCCACAATCTTTCCAACATTTGTTGTTTCTTGCCTTGTCAATTTTTGCCATTCTAACTGGTATAAGGTGGTATTTGCCTGATGGCTAATGATGTTGAACATTTTTCCATCTGTTAGCCATATATCTGTCTTCTTTGGAGAATGTCTCTTCATGTCTTCTGACCACTTTTTGACTTATTTGATTTTTGGGTGTGGAGTTTGAGAAGTTCTTTACAGATCTTGGATATCAGCCCTTTGTCTGTAGTGCAAATATCTCCCCCCATTCTGTGGGTTGTCTCTTTGTTTTGTTGACTATTTCCTTTGCCGTGCAGAAGCTTTTGATCTTGAGGAAGTCCCAATAGTTCATTTTTGCTTTTTTTTTCACTTGTCTTTTTTAGGCAAGTACTATGGCCTTGAAAGAAGATGTTGTGGCCTATGTCAAAGAGGTTACTGCCTATGTTCTCCACTAGGATTTTGATGGATTCCAGTCTCACATTGAGGTCTTTCAACCATTTAGAGTTTATCACAATGGTGTAAGAGAATGATCAAGTTTCATCCTTCTGTATGAAAAGATTCTGTCCAATTTTCCCAGCACCATCTATTGAA